TCCAAACTCTGCACCTTCCAAAGAAACGTCTGGCCTGTGACTGGCTCTTGGGTAACCTCTAAGCCCTCAGAGAAACCTGTAATAGCAACGTGACTGATGGCAGGGGCCTTGGGTCACACGAGGTCAGTTTGACCTCTGGAGGAGCAGGGTGGGCAGGAAAGATCCCTTGATCCAGGTGTGCAGGCAGCTATTGCTGGATCCCAGGTGTGGGGTAGCAACGGGCGGACCCACTGAGGGCGCAAGGCGGCAGGCTGACCACGGTCACACATTGGCGCGCATATAAACCAGTGAAGGATCAAGCAGTAAGACAGACCTCAAAGGCACCGGCAGAGGGGACCGCTATTGCCCCTCTCTGACCCCGCCCCCAAGTACAGCATCACAAACCAGGGACTGAGTTGCCCCACCCTCGTGAATACCTAAGGCTCTGCCCCACATAGGTAGCAGGTGTAACAGGTGCGAACAGACCAAAACATAGCTCAAGAAGAACTCGAAGCCCCAAAACCAGTAACTCTAAGTGACCAGGAAATAGAAAACCTATCAGATGCACAGTTCAAAACACCGGAGATCAGGATGCTCACAGAACTGGTTGATTTTAGTCACAAATTAGAGGAACAAATGAAGGCTAAAGTAATTGAAATGAAGGGAAATGCACAGGAAAGAAATGGTGATGGAAAGGAAACTGGGACTCAAATCAATGGAGTGGACCAGAAGGAAGAAAAAAATGACCAAACAGAAAAATATGAAGAAACAAGAATTTAAAAAAACGAGGAGAGGCTTAGGAACCTCCAGGGCACCTTTAAACGCTCCAACATCCAAAGTATAGAGGTACCAGAAGAGGAAGAGGAACGGCCACAAGTGGAAAACTTATTTGAACAAATAATAAAGGAGAACTTCCCCAATCTGGCAAAGGCAATAGACTTCCAGGAAATCCAGGAATCTCAGAGAGTCCCAAAGAAGTTGGACCCAAGAAGGAACGCACCAAGATACAGCATAATTACATTAGCCAAGATTAAAATGAAGGAGAGAAACCTAGAAGCAGCAAGAGCTAAGGGGACAGTCACCTACAAAGCAATTCCCATCAGACTGTCAGCTGATTTCTCAAAAGAGACCTTACAGGCAAGAAGGGGCTGGAAAGAGGTATTCCAAGTCATGAAAAATCCAAAGACCTACATCCAAGATTGATCTATCCAGCAAAGCTTTCATTTAGAATGGAAGGACAGATAAAGTGCTTCTCAGATGAGATCAAATTCAGGGAGTTCATCATCACCAAGCCCCTATTATGTGAAATGTTAAAGGGACTTATCTAAGAAAAAGAAGATAAAAAAGATGAACAGTGAAAGGACAGCAAACTCACAGTTATTAACAACCACACCTAAAACAAAAAGCAAACTAAAAGGACAGCTAGATCAGGAGCAGAAACATAGAAATGCAGATCACATGGAGGGTTAGCAACAGGGGAGTGGGAGGAGGAGAAGGGGGGAGAAGGTACAGAAAATAAGTAGCATAGCTGGTAGGTAGAAAATAGATAGAGGGGAGGGCAAGAATAGTATGGGAAATATAGAATCTAAAGAACTTGAGACACGTGTTCATGAACTAAAGGGGGTGCAGGGTGGAGGGGAATGAAGGGGGAAAATAGAACAACTGTAATGGCATAATCAATAAAATATATTTAAAAATAAGTCTAAATTACATTAACATTTTAAAATTTGTCACAATTTTAAAAAAAAGGCATAGTATCCTAGTGTAATTTCACAGCACAGCCAGCTACTAACCTGCTCCCCTGGCCACGCGACTGCCCATTTTTGATACTAAATGGGTCACGAATGAAGAAGACATTTGACCAGCTGTGCTGATGGGGACATGTCACTACCCTCTCAAGCTTTCCTTCCTTGTTAAAAGTAACTGAGTAAAACAGAAGATTTATCTCCTTTCTACCTCCCAGACTGCAAGAGCTGTTTGATGGTGATGACACCACTTCACATGAAAAAAATTCCATGAACTGAACCTTCGTGCCCTGCTGGAAAAAGCTGCTTCCGGCTGTCTTTGCAGAGGCGGACTGAAAAAGGTTGGGCTCAGTGTTCTCTGGTAGTGATGCTTTGCCGGTCGTCACTGATTACTGCTGCATTCTACCTTTGCAATATCTTCACTTATCTGTTGCTCCATAATAAGCCACCCCAAAACTTAGTGGTATAGAATAACAAGTTTTTTTTTGTTATAGTCATTGGTTCTATGGACCAGGAACTCACGCAGGACAAAGCATGGATGGTTTGTTCCAGCTGGCCCATGTCCGGGCCTCAGCTGGGAAGAAGTAAATGAACGGGGAGTGACCCAAATTGTTGGGGGCTAGAATTGTCTAGCAGATTCTTTAATCGCATGTCTGGGCTGAGATCATGGGAAGGCTCTGTGGACCAGAGCACATATGTATGACATGGGCTTCTCCACAGTACGGCAGCCAGGGGATAGTCGAGCTTCTTACTTGGAGTCTTAGGGATCCAAGAACGAGTGTGTCCCAATGAACAAGGAAGAAGTTGCTTGGCTTCTCATACCCCAGCCTGCGACATCACATAGCTCCCTTCCAAAATCCTCTCTTGGTTCAATCATTTCCCTTCTACCCCGCTCTCTTCTGGAGAAAGCAAAACTGGAAAAGACACTGGCATTTGGGCTGCCTGTCACTACCAAGCCCAGTAAACAATGACAGTGATTGAATCTTTATAGGCGCTTTATTCAGATGGCCAGTGATCTGAGAAGATGGTAGGTTCATACCCTAACAGACCATCTTGTCTTACTCTTTCCAGGCCAAGGTTTTTATAGCAGGGAATAAACAAGGTACAGTGAGGGCTTTGAAGTTCAGGGAGAATTAGGTGAAAGAAACTTCAACATTCCTGTCCCGGAAGGTTAGCTGTTCCCAGGGCCGGGTGATCCTCAGTCTCTCCCTGGAACACAAAGGTCTGGATGCCTCCACTTATCCCCAGGTGGTAATCTCCAGCCAGTGCCCCAGGAGGTTGGCTGTTTTCCCAGAAGCCAGGTTAGGATGGGGCCTTATCTGTCTGTAGTTTCTGAAACAAAAGATTTAACATATACATTACTTACTAGGCTTATAACTTTTTACCCGAAACTAAAATTTTCCAACTCTTCAGTCCTCTATCCAAAGCAGTTGCAAGTGTGCTCAGATTCAAGAGGAGGGGACACAGATTCCCACCTCACAAGCAGAGGACTGTTTTAAAACCACTGGGTAAAGGTATATGTTCATTCTTCAGCTGCTTCACAAAATTGCAACATGTAAATGGTTAGAAATGCGTCGAGAGATAGAGGCTGGAGGAACCAGGTGATCTGATCCACGTGCCTTTTTATTTGATGCTGCGATTACCTGCAGGCCCAGTCAGGACCAACTACAACCTGGGGAGAAGGGGTCAGGTAAAGGGTGAGCTGTTTCCAGGTACTTACGGGAGGGTCAGTTTGACCACCAGCCATCGTGGCTGGAGCCAGATGTCTATTGTGCTCGGTGGGAGAGAGTTTTGAATACACTGCCGGCTTTCAAGCTAGTCTGGATAACAGTCATGAGCAAGCCAGTGGGTTGGAAAACTGGCCTGACCCTTCCATAAACAACGTGAAAAATTTAAACTTCTTATAGCTGAAATATTTCTTTAACATTTTGAATGACATTTGTTGTTTCATGAAATGTAACCGGACTTGGGCAATCACACAAATACCGGTTTAGCCCAAGTTCAGGGATGGCTGAGAGGACAGCCAGATGGGCATCCGGCTGTAGGGCCTTGCCAAGGCCGATCCCAAACAGAATCCAGAGAACAGGTTCTGGTTGAAGACCCAGGCCAAAGCTGTGCTTCACGCATCTCTCCTACGTGATCTCCCTGAATCTTCCAAACGTCCGGATCAGGGAGGTTTTTATTAATATTTCTACTGTGGAGAAGAGGAAGGGGCTCCGAGAGCTGAGAGGCCTTGTCTGAGGTTGCACGGTCTGGAAGTGCATCAGTGGGTGGGGGCCTGGCAGGAACCGGGGCAACTAAAAAGGACTCACTGTCTAATTAACTACTAACAAAGCTGTTGGCTGTGGGCAAGAAGCTGAGGAAATCAAAGAGGAAGGGTGAGACATAATCTCCAGGCTTTGGGGGCCTGGGGTGAGAATGTGGGAACAGGAAGTTTCTAGAAGTTTCTGGAAATTTCTGGAATCCAGGAATTGCAGTTTAACAGGGCTCCTGCCAGGGGCTGCGGCTTTTATTAGAGAGATGCGGCAGGATTGAAGCCACTCTCCCTTTTTGCCCTCTGATTTCTGGTGTCTCCAGGAGTCGCGCTGACTGCACCCCACAGCAGGGCAGAGGATCGGAGGGCTACTTAGTGCAGCCGGCGAAGCCTGCCCCCCTACGCCGGTACCCCAGGCCCTCACTGGGCAAAGGGGGGCAGAAAGGGTGGGCCTGGACGGGCGATCTGAGAGTGCGCCTCCCGGTGACTGCGGGAAGAGCTGAAGAGTCGCGTTCCCACCCGGCTCCCCAGGACCATTGGCTGAGCCCCAGCGCGAGCCTGCATCAGGCTGGTTGTCATGGAGACCACGGCGCTGCGCCGCCGGGGCGAGGCGTGGGCGGAAAGCGAGCGCGCATGCGCACTGCAACGGCCTCGGTCCTCTGCGGCTGCGGGGGTCCAGGCGGGGCTTCGCGTGACGCGGCGCAGACCACGACTTCCCCACCTCTTCGGCGGCTAGCCGCGGCACAGGGTGGTCAGAGGCAGCACCTCTCCCAGGCCGCGCAGGGCGAGTGGAGGCGGGGTTGGCAGATCCCAGCCGGCGGGCGAAGAGCCAGGCCCGGGAGAAGGTGGAGCGTGGTTTCTAGCAGATGCCAGGACACTTGTGAGCAACCTGGGCCCGGTTCGGGAGGAGGGCTCCGGGAAAGCGCGAGGTCTTCCGGGGGGCAGCTGCGGAGGCGCCGCTGAGATCGTTGAGCCTGGCTGTCTTCCTGGGAATCTGACCTGCCTCTCTTGTCCCCGTACAGGAGTAGTATTCGGGAACCCCAGCAGACGCCATCCACCAGGTAGAATCTTCATTATTCGTGGAATTGGAGCTGGCGGGTGATTGCGACTATGACGATGAACCTGTTGGAGGACTGGTGCCGCGGGATGGATGCGGACATCCACAGGTGCCTCTTGGTCACGGGCATCCCGGAGGACTGTGGCCAAGCGGAAATTGAGGAGACATTGAACGGGGTCCTCTGCCCGCTGGGCCCGTATCTCATTCTGAACAAGATGTTTCTGAGGGAAGAGAACGCCAAAGCCGCCCTAATTGAGGTGGGCGAGGGTGTGAGTCTCAGTGCCGTACCCCGGGAATTTCCGGGACCGGGAGGGGTCTGGAGAGTAGTCTACAGAGACGCCACCCAGGATGCAGAGTTTTTAAAAAACCTGAATGAATTCCTGGAAGCCGAGGGCCGCACCTGGGAGGAAGTGGTCTACCTGCTCCAGCTCAACAACTGCCTGTGGCCCCAGAGCGAGCAACCGCCTACAGAGAACTGGGCAGAAGCTTTGGGGGTGATCCTGGGGACTGTGATACAAATCATCTTCTACATGGATGCAGAGATGCGCAGCTGGGAGGAAACTAGGGCCCAGGAGGCCGCTGAGTCCTACGTGGCTGCGGCGGCAGCAGCAGCAGCGGCAGCAGCTGCTGCTGTTTCAGGAGGGGGGAAGAAGGTCAAGAAGGAGCCGGGCAAGGCTGCCGAGGTGGGCTCTGCCCTGAAGGTGGAGAACCCAGACAGCTGGAATGACACGGAAGATGAAGGTGACCCTCCCAAACCTTTGGTTCGTAAGGCTGGAGCCAAGCCTCGCTCCAGGAGAAGGAAGCAGAAGAAGAACCCCAAGCAGGGACCAGCGCCCTGGAAGAAACTCAGAGGCTACCATTCCAACAGCTCGGCTTCCCTGGAGGATCTTGAGGCTGATGATGGTGAAAATAGGGAGGTGTCAGAATATGCCAAGAGCAACAGAAAGCCCACTATGAGGCAGGAGGAGTGGGCTTTCAAGAAGCTTGTGGAGAAATGGGGTTGGAAGTCTCCCAGACCGGCGCCTCAGGATGCCGGGGCGGAAGCTGCCTCTGAGTCAGACCAAGAGGGTGGTCGTGAGGGCCCCCGCAGGAAGAAGGGCTGGGCTTGGGCAAAGAGTCCCACCCTCCTGAGGAAGAAAAAGAAGGTGAGCTTGGGCCCCATCTCCTATGTCCTTGTCGATGTGGAAGATGCCAAGAATATGCCATTGATTCCAAAGCAAGGGCTAAGCTGGAGGAGGGGGGTGTCAGTTCAGAGGGCCCCTGGAGGCTCTCAGCCCGCTGCTGAGTCACCAGCCCCAACGTCACAGGGTGCGAAGGCCAAGCCAGAAGGCTCTCCTCTTGGTGAGAATGATGACAGAAATCATTTGGGTTGTGTCTACAAGCAGATGAGGGGGGAGGAGCAGGAATGGCAGGTGGGGGCTGAGGAGCCGAAGGGGGTGGCAGGGTACACGATCAATGAAGAGGACCCCCAGTGCAGTGGAGAAGAAGGAAGGTGGGTGACACACCATTTGAGGGTTTAGAGGGTGAAAGCCCTGACCTCCATTCTCAGAGCCCCAGAGGGCCACAGTGGGGAGGCCTGTGGGGGCAGGAGATGCCAAAGCAAAGTCACCACCTCTCTTTCATTTCTGTGGTATTTCGTTTCAGGTCATTCCGCTGCACCATCTGACCATCTTCCTCCGGGAGCGTCAATGGGTTGGGGTTAAAATGTTTGTCAGTGTGGTGGCGTTTAGGGTGGAGTGTCCTAGAGGGCTTGTTAGGGGATAGAAAGTTCCAGAAAGTAGAAAAAACTTCCAAGTGACTCCTTTCCCTGCTTCGCCTCTTTAACTGTCTGAATCTATCCACAGAACCCAGGAAACTGAGTTGGGGGACCACGGAGCTGAAAGAAGACCAAGGAAGGAGTTTCAAGTTGGGAACAAAGCTTTCTCTTGTCATTGAGTGATCCAAGACTTTTGACTCACTTAGGGACCTGCTTTGTTTTGTTTATCTTCATTCAAGAATGTGTTTATTGCTTTTAGAGAGAAAGTAAGGGGGAGAGAGATAGAAACTTTGATGTGAGAGAAACATTGATCATTTGCCTCCCATATGTGCCCTGAGTGGGGATCGAACCTGCAACCTTTTGGTTGCATGGGAGGACACTCCAACCAATTCACCCACCCAGCCAGGGCAGGGACCCACTTGGTAGAGATTTGGTTCTCAGGTAAATACTACACGAGATCTTAGGTGGGAGGAATCGAGGGAGGGAGGTATACTTTTTTCCCCCCCGCCAGGCCTGCTTTCTTATCTCCTCCTAGACTCACCTGTGAGGCTGGTGAGTCAATAAGCAGATGGGAGAAATTCTAGAACATTTTTCTTGATACTTGGACAGGGTCACTGCTACACTGCTCCCCCATTCCCTGCTGCTTCTGAGGGGTCGGCTGAGGGGCGCAGGGCCTGGCTTCCTTGTTCCTTCCAGTCTTCAACTTCCATCCTCCAGTTATCTCACCAGAGGGTGGATTGGTTCCAAGAGTTAGTTTTGGGACAAAAGGATGTCTTTGAAGTATTTGAGTTTTAAGTTTTGTTAATACAGATGGTGCTTGGATTTCCCACTTTGGGTAAAACCCTGTTGGGAATCTGCGGGAAAGAGGGGTGATTGGTAGGGAAGGATGGGGCTGTCCTGCCTCCCCTGCTCTGATTCCATCCAGTGCCACCAGATAGTCAACATATTGGAGGCTGAAAACACTTCTCACATTACAGCAAGAAGGAAAAATACTCTAAAAAGTTGGTCATCTGTTTCTGCCCTCTGAATAGACCACATTACCACGTCTCCTGTGTGCGTGTGCGGGGGGGAGAGGGGACAGGCTCCCTGAGGTCATTGGTTTCCTCTGAGGAGGTCCAAGGAGCACTCAAAGATGTAATCCGAATCCATCTTTTCACATATTTAAAAAAAATTTACACAATTTACGTTGTCTGTCAAACCCATCACATCGGAGGCTATCAAAATATTACCTTGACTTCATAAGTTTCTGTACAGGTCTCAAATGAATTGTGTCTGCCGTTTATTTGTGTATAAGTATTTTTTTTGTAAGTGGGACTGACGAATCAAGTCTTGTCGATCTCACTGACCTGGGCACTCAGTCCCACGCATGCGCCCTGTGCTGGAAATGTAAGTCCCGCTCATGTCTTGTTGATGTCACTGACCTGGGCACTCAGTCCCGCGCATGCGCCGTGTGCTGGAAATGTAAATCCCGCGCATGCGCTCTGTGCTGAAAAAGGTAATTCCCCTGTTTCGCGCTGCGATTTCCAGTTGTGTGTGAGCAAGTTAGTGCACATACGTGGTTCATGCTAATAATATTCTGTCAGGAAGAGGTCAGCCCTTTGCGTTTTCAGTCTGTTGACTTCAATTTTTGTGATCAAGGATGTGAAGTTGTTAGATGTTGTTAGTGATTCATCGTGGAAAACACTTGCTGTGACAATTCCTTTCAAATTCCTGCATGAGTCTTGCCAAAGAGGCAGGAAGGGAAAAAAGCGACTTTCCCTTGCTACTATTCATCTGCGTCATTCCGTTTTTCCTTGGCGTGTGCAGAATGGAGCATAGAGGCCTCCTGGACTCTCTCGGTGACGGAAACCTGCCACGCCCCAGCGCCCGATTTCAAAACCGGGTCCTTTTGGGCTTCATCATGTGAACAAATTGACACCATAATCAGTAATTGTCAGTGTATATGTTATGAAATAAAGTCTAGTGAATTAAATACAGAGTCTCTTGTAGAGTAAGGGGGCATGGGCTGTCTAATTTGAGGAAGGGTTCCCCCTGCTGGACAGTGAACGCTTGTCCTAGACGCCCAGCAGAGTGTGCGCTCTCCTCAGACCTGCACTCAAGCTTCCATATTGCATAAGAAGAAACTTTTGAGGTGTCTCTCCTCTTTGCTCTATGCCTTCTGCCAACGGGAAAGGCTCTCCAACAGATCTTGGGGCTTCTAGAAGTTTCTAGACCAGGTAATTGGTGATGTGAATTATCTGGAAATGTATTTTTAAAAGCAGCTGGATGATGAAAAATTGCCTCCCCTTCCCTCAGACAGAAGCCGAGGTCTTCACCTAAAAACTTAGTTTTCTTCAACTTCATCTCAGCACCTGCTAGGGACTCCTGAACCAGGGTGGCCACTCCATCAAAGTCACCAGCTCTTTGCTAAATGCCATTTCTGGGCCCCACATGCCCAGTCACGATCCCTTGGCCATTGTATCTATACCCAAAATCTTGTATCTCTCATCTGTCAGTGAGAGAGCTGCAGGTGGAGTAATTGACATTTGAGGAAGGGGGTGGATCCAGAGGGGCCAAGCTTGGGGTTCTGTGAAGGGTGAATAAAGGTTGTCAGGGAGGGAGGGAGGGAAGACGAGTAGGAGACCAGAGGGAGGACTGCGAGCTAACTGGGTGCTGTAGTCCTCGCCAGGAAGACCCAGGGAAAGGCTTACCTGGGGCCTCCGCCCTGCCAGCATTGTGGGAAAACCCTATTGGGCCAATATTTCAAAGTCCCTTCCAGACGTAGTCACTCCTAGTTACACCCAGCCTGTTCATCCATCAACTTGGCAAGACCCCCACCCAGGGCCCCAGGTGGGGGCAGATGCAGGGATGGGACCAGAGAAGGCACCGTTCTGCCCAAGCTTGACTTTTCGGTAAACAAGCCATCCTGAAAAAAGATACGTGATCATCCTTTTTGGTGAATATTTTTTAATGGAATAATGATACATTAATATCTTAATAAATCCACATAGATATATTTGCTTCAGAGAAGTACAGATATATACACATATACATCTATATATTTAATACATATTATATATATTTATTTTTTAAAGATATTTATTTATTTTTAGACAGAGGGGAAGGGAGAGAAGCATCAATGTGCAAGAGATGCATCAATCGGTTGCCTCTGACACACCCCCAACTGGCACAAGGGGCTGGCACAGTCTCCACATCCAGTCTGGCCACGCTCCAAGCACAGCCCCTGGGCTTGGCCTCAGAGGGAATGTTCTGGAACAACAAACAGTGAATGTAGCTCATGCCAGGGACTGCAGTTTGCTTTCATGCTTCAGGCGCGTTCTGAGTGTTTTCTCCTCTGACATTCACTCTTAGGTAAGGAGCGTGAGCGCCGATCGAACATTCGAGATCAAAACTGAGCGTGGATTCCCTGCCAATGCTTTCGAGACATTTTTCCTTATTTAGAGGGGAGAAAAGGAGAGAGGGAGAGAAATATCAATGTATGGTTGCCTCTCGTGCGTCCCCTGCTGGGACCTGGCCCACAACCCAGGCATGTGCCCTGACTGGGAATCGAACTGTGATACTCTGCTTCACAGGCCCACGCTCAATCCACTGACCTACACCAGCCAGGGCTGCTTTTGAGATTCTGGATATGTGTACTAAGGCATTTTCTACCAGTGTGAGGTGAGCTGTCAACGTGTGAGAATAGGGAGGAAAAATCTAAACTAAACAACCAGAAAATGGAGAAGGAGGTCAGTAATAAAGCACTGGGTCTGATAAATATTAAAATGTAATGTTATGAACCTTGATAATGAAAACAGCTCAGTACTGGCCAAAGAATGGGGTGGTGGGGAGATTGAGTCTAGAAAGAGAGGTACATAAATATATGATTATAGTTTATGATATAGATGGATGGGTTTCAAATTGGTGTGAGAGATGAATTATTTAGAAAACAGTGTTGGGATGACAAGTTAAATATTTGGGGAACCAGAAGCCACTCCCTTACGTTGGAATTAATTCCAGAAAGGTCAAACACTTATAGAATGAAACTGTAAGAGTTGCAGATGGTGGATAATTGATCATCTTGGAGGGGAGGGAGCTGTTCAGAACCAAAGCAAGTATAAGTGAACAACTCAGGCTTGACCTGGTGCAGGGGCAGGAGCAGTGGGTGGGGGGCGGGAGAACAGGCCTAGGGACCTCCCTGTGACTTTGACATTCAGGCTAAGCAATGTGAACAGTGGTCAACAGTCTTTCATAACTTAACTAAAAAATGAAAACTCCCCACTACCTCTTTGTTGAATTTCTTGAAGATTAATTTGTGAGTGCAAGAGAAGCTGCTAAAAAATGTTTCCTCTACCCTGGCTGGCGTAGCTCAGTGGATTGAGTCTGGGCCTGCGAACCAAAGGATTCCAGTTCAATTCCCAGTCAGGGCACATGCCTGGGTTGCAAGCCAGTTCCTAGCAGGGGACAGACAAGAGGCAACCACACACTGATGTTTCTCTCCCTCTCTCTTTCCCTTCTCTTCTAAAGATAAATAAAAATCTAGTAAATAAATAAAATTATTATTATTTTTTTATTAGAAGGAATGCTTCTTTTTTTTTTTTTTAAGATTTTATTTATTTATCTTTAGAGGGGAAGGGGGAAGGAGACAGGGAGAAAAACATCAATGTGTGGTTGCCTTTCATGCGTCCCCTGCTGGGAACTGGCCTGCAGGGAACTGGCCTGCAACCCAGCCATGTGCCCTGACTGGGAATCGAGCCGCCATTGTCTGGTTCGCAGGTCCACGCTCAATCCACTGAGCTACACCAGCCAGGTCCCCCCCTATTTTAAAAATGTTTTGCTTATTGTATTTTTCTGGAATATTTTAATGTTTCTTAAACATGCCGGTCTCACTTCCTTTTCAGTCGTGTCCTGGTTTGTGTGGCCTGGTAGCAGTTTTTAAACAGCTGCCTGCTCTAATGAAGGGGGTTTAAAAACTATCTAAATGGGCCCTGGCCCGTGTAGCTCAGCGGATTGAGCAGGGGCCTGTGAAGCAAAGGGTGGCCAGTTCAATTCCCAGTCAGGGCACATGCCTGGGTTGCAGGCCAGGTCCCCAGTAGGGAACACATGGGAGGCAACCACACATTGATGTTTCTCTCCCACTCTTTCTCCTTCCTATCCCCTCTCTCTAAAAATAAAAAAAATTTAAAAAACCACAAAAAACTGCCTGAATGGAACTGTGACACCCTCGTCATTTCTTACCACGCATGAGAAAGCGCAAGGGAACTATCCAGAGTTGGCCAGCAGGAAGCCACCCAGAATAGCAAGCCCCTGTGTTCAAACTCATCACACGACTGTCTGTTTTCGTAACGCTCTGTGTCCCCAGGGCTGAATGAATCCTTGACAGAGGCTCTGTCATTTCTTGGAGCCTGAGGAACGTGGGCGGTGGCAGCTGCTGGGCTGCACGGTCTCTCGTGTGAGGACGTGCCTGGCCTCGATTTTCAGACAGGGCTGAAAAGAGACTCCGTGTTCAGCGGTGGATTCACAGCGGCCATCAGGCCTGCGGGAGAAGGAAAACGAGAGTCATCTTGGCTGTGGCCAGCCCTGTGGGCGTGGCTTCTCACACGCGTTGTTTTTTAGGTTGTGGGAGCTGGTGTTGTTTAATGAGGATCCAGATTAAGAAGAAAACAAGGCAGGACCGGTGGTCCCGCTGCCAAAATAGCTCCTGGGGACATTTTCAAAATGAGGTCTGCACCGTGTTAGACATTCAAACAGAGCAGGATTGAAAACAAAATGACACCCACCTCACTTCTCCACCTCCCCGCAAAGCCGTAACGGGGTCTCATGTTCACTTCCAAAAGGGTAGAAACGCTTGTGTGTATGTCAACACACGGTTCTCTATATGTATGCATGTGCGCATCCACGTGCCTGTGTGTTTGCGTAGAGATGTGTGTAAATGCATATGCATGCTTCCACACGCGTGCATGCAAGTATACAGGTGTGCGTTTATACATGCACAGGCATGTATGTGTGCCTATGTATGGTGGGGTGTATGTATTTGTGTATGATACGCGTGCAGAAGTGTGTATTTGTGTGTGTAAGCATGTATTTGTGTATGTGATTGTGTGTGCATGTGTGTGTGTGGATATATGTGTGTGGCAACAGCAGAAGACCTAACCCAGAAGCCATACCCGGGCGCTGTCAGTGCCATCCGGGTTGGGGAATACACCAGGAGGGGAATACACTGTTCGCTTGTGAACGAAACCGGTGGATGCAACGCACACAAACAGAAGCAAGCGTGTCAGCAATGAGAAAGGAGGGCTTTACGAGTGGCTGAACTCTCTGCACTGGGGTCCAAGATTCAGGACAAAATTCTCTATTTCCCTTCATTCTTCATAATCTAGATCACAGATCACTTATCATGGGTGTCGTGGTTGGCCTTGGAGTATTTGCCTCGGATGATGAAGTAACAAACCTGACATTCTGCCTTCCGTTTTCTAATCATTTGTTTTGACTAAGTCGTGGCTTAAATGCAGTGAAAGGACTAAGCATGAAATACAGTTGTTTTTTTAGATTTTGTTTTCATTTATTTATTTTTAGAGAGAGGGGAAGAGAGGGAGGGAACATCGATGAGTGAGAGATACATCCATCGCTTGCCCCTCAACCCACATCCCAGGCATGTGTTCTGACAGGGGATAGAACCAGTGACCTTTTGCTTTCCCAGACAATCCCCAACCAGCTGAGCCACACTGGTCAGGGCTAGACACAGCTTTTAAAGGTTATTTTATGTGACTTTATAAACATCAGCACACTCAATAATTCTAAGAGATGAAAATTATAATAAATTACCATAAAATTCAATCTCTATTATTTATTCTTTTATTTTTTAATATATTTTACTGATTATGCTATTACAGTTGTCCCATTTCTCCCCGCACCTTATTCCCCTTCACCCTGCACACCCCCTCTCACCCATATTCCGGCCCCCTTGGTTCATGTCCA